AAATTTTTTTTTATTAAGAGGTACTCAACATGATTTTCTGTTGAAAAAATTACATTGTGACATAAATGCCACTAAAATAAAGACTCACTAAATGATACAATTTAGGGACAGATCTGAGCACTGTTTTATATTTTTTAGTCTATTTCAATACTCAAAAGGATTAGGCTCATTTTAATGAATTTTATAGTGTTCTATAAGTATGATTTATTATAATAAAAACTTTAGAGAGAGGTAATACATAATTGGAAAGATATGACACTCTTTTTAACAGTATTCGATCTGATAAGCAGAAAGAAGAAGAAACACAATACCTATAAAAATATCTTGGTTTCTTCGAAATGAAAAAATATAGAGAGAGACTTGATGGTAGCTTAGAAACGGTAATGATCAATGGGAGAATCGAAAGTGTGATATTTAAAATAATGAGATGAAGAAGATTATTTCTCACGGTGTGAGATAGAGAGAATCCAAGTGGCAAAAGGATGGATACTTCATGACATATGAAATTGATGATTAATATATTATTCATCAGTTGAGTGCTCTTCCAAGATCACAAAAACTTGTCAAACAAGTAAAGAAATGAATTAAGAAAGCCTAAGTACCACACTATATGGTTTTAAGGTATGAAATCTATCACACATTACATGATAATGTCATATTGGGAAAGATGATTCAATAACCCTTTATTTTTTTAAGTTTCATATACTTCTTTGATTTTTTGGCTATTTGTTTTATAAATATGTATGGAGTGTATGGACATTAGGTGATCGGTGCTAATAAATTTGAAAGAGCCAATTTTGAATACCTTTGTTTTTGTGCCTCCTTGTACTTGAGTATGAACTACTTGAAGGAGTGATACACATGGAAATGTGATTTGATCGAGAGCTTTGAGTCTAAGTATGAAACATGGGAGATGGGTGTGGCTCATTCAAATATCTGAGCATGAAGGGAGTGGTCTGATGGAACTCGGTCTTAGTAACCAGCTTACCGGTAATGTTCATAATATGATGTTTTGCATGTGATGATGAACTCTTGATAAAGTCTCCATATTTGTCAAAAATGAAGTATTTTGTCAAGGCTTTAATAACCATTATTTAATCGGGTTTTATTTTGGATAAAATTATAAGATGGTATTTATAATTTGTTTTATTTTGTAGCCATGAACTTGACTTGGTAGGAAATTAAAGGTAAATACGATAAAATGATTTATGAAGGCTAAACATGTATTTTAAAATTAAATTGGATGATTTGATAAAAAAACAAAGTCTATGAATATGGTTTTTAGAAAACCACATAGTCTCGCAAGGTCAACTAAGTCTTTATAAAAAATCATTTTAAAACGTCATACTATTATCTAACTATTTCTTGTGAATGTATATATATATACCAAGTCAATGGTTTTTTAAAAAAGAGAAAAACATTATGTCTTGAAGTTATTTATAAAAATGGGAGAAAATCTGTCATGCAATAGTTTTTACATACCCATATGCCTTGACCCATGTTTCTAATTATTTAGAATCCTCGATTACATAAGACCTTGAACCATAAAAAATATTGTAGGAAGGTCATCTTGCAAGGTTTCCTTGACACATGCTGTGTGGATTAGACAACTTGATTTGTATGTGTTTACAACCAAGAGACTAGTGTGGTTGAAACCTCTGTAGTTCGAAAAATGTTTTTACGAAACCAAACGAGCATTGAGCTATTGTTTAGTATGAGACTTGATATACTATCTTAGGATACAGGCATGATAATGCTGAAATAATATTTCTTATGTGTTATGTATCAGTGTGAACTATTAACAATCCCACAATTATTTTTAGCTGCTTGGATATTTATTTATACAGGTATCCGGTTATAAAAAAGATCCAAATAAACTCAATATTCCAGTGGGAACACCAACTTGGGTTTGATGGTCAGTTGGAACGACATACCATTGTTCACACATGGAACCGGCATGACACTAGTTGTATGGCTACAAAAGGGAGCAGCTTGATTGAAGAACTGCTTTAAGCCAATGAAGATACGACCCATGTGATGAGGGTACATAATGATCTTATGCGATAACATATCCATGATTCACGATGCGACATAAAAGATGGACTACGATCACTTTCGTAATGAGATTCAAGTATAAAAAAGAAAGAGGCGCTGCCTCCAAATCCTTTTTGAAAAGATTGATGACAAAATCCATGGTTAATGTAATAAGAGAGAACAAGTGAAAAATACTTGAGAGTGAGATTGTAATTGGGGAGATGAGAAAGAAATTGTAAGGCCAAGTGGGAGATGTTGGGTTTATGTGGATTTTAAATGTCTTATGAGAGCTTATATGAGCATTTTATATAGTGAAACATAAACTCAGTGGGAGTGTGGTCTTCTTGTGGACCATACTAGGCAAATGTGATTTGTCGATACTCGAACTAGGCTCAACAGAGAGAGTAAGTGAAAAATGCTTGAGAGTGAGATTGCAATTGGGGGGGACGAGGATATGAGAAAGAGAGATTGTAAGGCCTCAAAAGGCCAAGTAGACGATGTTGGGTTTATGTGGCTTTTAAAGGCCTTATGAGAGCTTGTATGAAAATTTTATAGAGTGAAACATAAACTCAGTGGGAGTGTGGTCCTCTTGTGGATCATACTAGGCAAATGCGATTTGCCGATACTCAGATTAGGCTCGACGTACTAGGCCAGCCGAGTTTGGAAAAACGCAAGGTACTTGAGCATAGGGATCTACCGAGAAAGATTTAGTGGGTTAGCCCTTGATGAGGTCAGAGTATGCCCAGATGAGAGTCAAAGGACTGTGTGGCCCATGGGTGTGATGAATAGCCTTTAGAGACAAGGCTAAAACCTCATCGTTATATTATCATATGACATGTACATAGATAGTCGTTTTAAGATTCGCCAATGAGGGTGAAGCGTGTACATGTGCGATATATTATCCCTATGCACCATAGAGTCATGATTGCATCATGATCTGGAGGACCATGATTTTTTGTCTCTAGAGGAGAACCTGAAATTCATAAACTGTAATTAGATTTCCTAGTCTATTGGTTGACTTTGGTGGTCCAATCATGAGCCACCATATTGGATTGTGGGTCATAAGAACTGCCGAGTCAGTTTGAGAAAGCTAGGTGAATCGTGGTCGGCAATTGAAGATGGAATGCTCCCATATATTGATAAATTTTTAGATCTGACGGATCCGATTCCCATAAAAAATTAATTAGTTTTAATTAATGTTATGATATATGCTTTTTTAGAATGTTTATTTGAATTTTTGTGAATCTTCTGATATTTTATTTTTGTCATTTGGATTTATAAATTAAGATAAATTAATTTTTCAATGTTTTAAATAAAATATAAGATTTAAAAAATCTAAATATTAAATAAAATATTTTCTAAAAATATATGGACCTCCATAAAATATGGGGCCCAAAATTTAAAAAAATGTGGATTAAGTGCGCCCCACACGTGGCCACCAAAAGGGTGGCACTTGCCACCCGTGTTCTTCTTGGGAAGAATGTTTATCCCTTGTTTGTTGGCTTATCTTTTCGGGATAGCTAACTACACAATAATGTTGAATATTTGAAATATTTAATAAGTCTTTGAATAAAGATTGCTTGATCTAATAAATAAAGATTGGATATCCTAAAATAGAAAATAAGATATATACTTTCTTGATTTAAAGATTTGATGTGAATAGATCTAGGAAATGAAGGAAAAAGCGCTAGCTCATCTCTTTGAATCTTGATGGTGGATCAAACAGATAGATGACTCAAATCTCTCACCTCACAATTCTCCTTAGATCGACATGTTCTTTATTTAAAGATTTGATGTGAATAGATCTACGAAAGGGAGGATAAAGCTCTAGCTCATCTCTTTGAATCTTGATGGTGAATCAAACAGATTGATGACTCAAATCTCTCACCCCACAAGTCTCTTTAGATCGACGGTCAAGATTTAACCCTACGAATTAAGACAAATCTTAAGCCATAGAAAATCTATAAAATGAGGTCTTTTCTTTCATAAAATGACTTATATATTCCCTCCTCTCTCTTTAATAATTCCCTTTCTCTCGCTACCCAAATTTAGTTCTCTCTCTTGATTATCAAAGGGGAGGCACGCCCCAATTTTTAGGCATGCCCCAAGTTTTATCTTCTATCTCTCTCACCCAATTTTGAGGCACACTCAAGTTTTATCTTCTATCTATTTCAAGTTTTTCTAAGAGGGTACGCCCAAATCATCTTTCTCTCGTTGTTTCTAGATAGCACGCCCAAGCTAAGGTTAGCTTGTGGTGATTTGATTTTTTGGTCTCAAATGGGAGGATCCCCTTGCTAATAGATCTCTCCTTCTCTCTTTGATCTTTCTCTCATCTCTCCAAAGATTAAGCCAATGGGGCTTGAGCAAGACTAAGGCGTTGAAGCCTTAAGTAGTTGGTTCTAGATCGAAATCAATATGTCATTGAGAGGGTTTTGCCATATGTAGGAGAATCAAGTGATCAATTATAGATCCCGAGCATCATCGGAAGGAGGAGACTCAGTATGGGGTGTACTAAGCGCGGTTGAAGTAATCTTTGGTACTCTCTTTTTGTTTCTCACCATATTTAATTATATTGTGTTTATATTCGCAAGCATAAGAATTATGGATATTTTCTTTGTTTAAAGAAAATTGGTTTAGTGACATCAAGATTTTTAAAGATCTTAGATTTGTTAGTTTTATTTTCTTTGAAATAAGAGTTATTGTAATAAGGGTACTTGTAAGTAATCTTTTGCCAAAAAAAAAAAAGAAGAAGAAAAAAAAGACGAAAAGAAGAAAAATAAACAAAATATATTCATTCGCAAGATCACATTAGTCTTTCTTTCACTTACAAGTACCTTGAAATCCTTATGACAAGAATGATTGCGACTTCTCATACCAAAAGTAAATGGTGTTTTTGTACACTTTTCCCTATTATAAATGTTGTTCTTGTAGCAACCTAGGCCTTGGGGCTTTTCAAATACTTCAGAAAATGGGAGGCAAAAGCTCTACTCCACGCCGTAGCCCTATTCCTAGTACTGAACCTCTTCATTATACTCTTCTTGCTGCTACTCTTCCAAAAAAAAAATTTGATCCTTTTGCGGAAATGAACAATGGAAGTAAGGTGGAGAATCTGGTATTCTCTCTCTCTAGTTCTGTACAATGTTGTTAAAGTGTGGAATTTGGCACGTGCATCCCCATGTGTGAGAATTTTTATGTTTTTCTTGATCGTAAGATGATTATATTTGGGTGAAATAGCGTTCATAGTGTTCATCAATTGGAAATCTTTACTTATTTTGGGTCTGTTTAGAGATATTGGGTGTATGAGGAATCCAGAGGAAATTACTTCATTTTGTTTGCAAGGGAATTAAAGATAGTATGGGGCGAAGATGGCCGTTATTGGCGTTGGATACGTTTGCCAGAATCAAGGTGAGGAAATATTGTAAGGTTTACTTGGTTTAAGATTTTGTGGTTTTCTTGTAAGGATAAACCAAGAATTGGGTCAAGACTCGCCAGGATCCCGAGCCCAATTTGCGTATGATGACTTATTTTTTGTGGTTTTCTTGTAAGGATAAACCAAGAATTGGGTCGAGACTCGTTAGGATCACGAGCCTAATTTGGGTATGATAACATATTAAAGATAAGACACTTGTGTTTGATATTTTAGAAATTTAGATACTTTTCTTGACATCTGCTCTTCTAATCACACTACATCTGCTCTTATAAGTGAAAGTACTTAATGTACTCTTCAAAAAAAAAAAAAGTTGCATAACCTTAATTGTATAAATATGGTTGTGGTATGTTGCACTTTTTATTTTTGTTGGATTATGTAGAGTTTTTTGTGCTAGTTAGGCATTGTAGATAACTAAACCTAAAACTTTTTTTTTCTGGATAGAAGAGCCTCAACAAATAAATAATAAAATACTAAATCTGGCCAATCTTGGCTGGTTCCCATGGACTCGCTCAATTTATTTTATTTATTTATTTATTCTGAATTCACAGCCATCCCGAGATCGAAATGGCCGAGCTTCTTAAAGTCTGCTGGTTTGAAGTGAGGGGAAAGATAGATGCATCATGCCTCTCTCCAGGGATGGACAACATCGTGGCCTTCATTGTGTGAGGAAGCTCATGGGTGGGAAGAACAAAATGTCACACTTAGCTTTATTCTTGCCAACAAAATGAAAATGGCGAAAACACACACACAAACGCTAGAAGAAAAGGAGAGGCGAAAGTGGATGGAGATTCATGTGGGTGCTTGCTTTTCACACCAGAGAAAAAGAAGAGAGAGAGTTTTCTATGATGCAAACCCAAGAGGGTGAATGGAAGAGTGGGCTTCTCATTAAAGGTGTGGGTTTAAGGCCCAGGAATGCGAGCATTAAGGTGTGGTTTAGAACCACAGTAAGGTTATAAGGGCCCAGGCTGGAGTCAGTTTCTCTCTCTAGGACCGTGAGGGCTACAAGCAGGGTAGAGTTTAGTGGTTTTATATATATGGAAGAAATATGTCAGCGGAATAGTATATTGATGATCATT